TCGAAGTTTTTGTTTCTCTTCGATTCACGAATGGTTGAATGGATCAACAACACCATCATCAAACATTATCAAACATCGACAAACATCCACAGCTAACCAAAAAAAAACCATTCAAGATTTTCAGGGCGGGTTTTGGAATTTTTTTTTTCATTTCAATTCGAAATCATCATGACGATGTTATTGATAATGATAATGGTTGGCTGGTTGTTTGTTTGGTTGGCTGACTGACTATAGCTAGCTGGTTTTTGGTTGTTCCACAAGTTTTCCATCATCATCATACCTACAATCGATGATGATGATTACATAATAACATTGAAATGGTAAGCCTGTATGTAACGCGATTTGTTTTTTGTTGTATGTTTCGTCCAAAAAAAAGACCAGTCTGTGAAATCATGTTTCAGGTTTTTTTTTCCATTTCATTTTTTTGATTATGCGCCATTCGAATTTTCAATTCTCAATTGCGCTTCATTTTTTTTTTGGGAATTCAAATCATCAATGGCATCATTGTACATTTGGTTGCAACATCCAAACAACCAAAAATAAAAAACAAGGATGAAGGTAGGGAATAAAGATTGATGGATAAGCTTTGTTCAAAAAAAACATTTGACGATTTTTTTTCCCTTTATAGAATCGAAAGAAAAAATGGAAAAAGAAAAATCTTTTTTTTTTCTTTGCTTGTTGCCAAATTTCACTGAAATTCATTTTGTCATTTGACAGAATGAATAAAAAAAAATTCTGGAATTTCCGAATAATGTGTGCAACAAGCAGATGAAGAAAAGCAAAACTTGTTGACATCAACAATAAACATGTATCTATGACATTTTTGCGTTGGTTGGTTGGGTTGTTTTTTTTTTTTTTTGAATTAAAGAATTGAGAGAGAATTGAACATGCGACATTTATTCTCTCAATTGATCAAGATGAAAATAAAGAATTAATGATGGTGGTGGTGAATTCTCTAAAATTCTTGACGATGATGATGATGATGATGATTCGATTTCGGGATGAAAGATTCCAAAAATAATTCCCAATCTTTCTTTTTTTTCTTTTTTCCAGTTGGCACAATGCCTTGAATGTTTGTTCTGTTCTGTTCTGTTTTGTTGTCTATGTAAATGATGATGATCTTCCTCCCTCCGTGAATTTTTTTTTGGAATGATTTGGTGATGTATGTATGCATGCATGCATACATTCATTCATCTTCAACAAACATCCTTATGACGACTATCATCATCATCATCATCACGATGATGATGATGTTTTTGTCCTTCTTGTTGTTGTTGTTTCTTTCCATCCATCCATCCAATTCATTCTTTCCATTCATCATCCATGTTAGTTATAAAAAAAAGATGGCAAAAAAGAAAAAAAAATTCCCGTTCAATTGTTCAACAAATCATCATCATCAACAACATCAAGGATAATCTTTGTTTGGTTTTGTTTTGATCGGATATGGTTTTCGAACGTTTTCTTTATAAAGAATCCAAAAAAAAAAACTATTTCAACTCAAATGAGCATTGAATGGATGAAAATTGTAGAAAAATAGAAATAGGCGTTGGCATTTTGATTTCGAACGGATTCAATTTTCCAAATTTTTTGGTTCATTTCCAAAAACGAAACGAAACGAAACGATAAACGAAACTTCGTTTCCCACTAAAAATATGCAATATGTGCATGGTGGTGTTTTCCGTTGCTACTACCATCATCATTATCATCATCATGTAACAACTATGGCAAAGATGAGAAAGCAAAAATGAAAACAGAAAATTCACTTGTTTTGGCCATATTATCCATCCAAATCAAAAAAAATCCTATTCACACACCAGCCATCCAAACCAAACCAAACATCAATTGGATGGATTTTTTCATCATCATCATCATGTTTCTGGTATTTTTTTTTTGTTTTTGATGATTTTTCCTCTCTTCAACAACACATATCAACCATAGTTGGTACATGTGTTGCTGAATGGGGATGGATATTATTATTTTTGTTTTGTTTGAATGATGATGATGATGATGATGGTACATTTTATGTGTTTTATGTGTGTTTTGGTATGTTTCATCCAAAATAAAAATCTCTATAAAACCAAACACATTTATAATGAGTGAATGAATGAATGAATGAAAAAACGACATGCACCAAACCCAAAAAGGAAGCTAAATAAATATACAAAACAAAACACATACATCAATTCTGCTACGTCATTATTGAACAGCCCCTTAATTCCTATTCCTTCCCCTCTTCTATCATCATCATCAATGTTTTGAGATTTTCATTGCTGTGTTTCATCAATTAAAACAAAACAAAAAAAAAAATTTCCCCGGCCTATAGGCAACAGATCATTTCCAGAAAAAAACTCAAACAAAAACAAACAAACCATATTTGGAATTAAAGAAAAATATTTTAGTTTTTTTTTCTTGTTTCATTTTCGGTAGTGGTGGTATTGATTCGAATGATGATACTTGTTGGTTTTGGTCATGGTACTTTTCAAAATTGGAACGTTTCAGGAATGAAATATGGTTAGTGTCTAACAAAACGAAAAACCGGTCTACGAACAGAGAGAGAGAGAGAGAGAGAGATGGTCATCTCTCATGACCTCCGGATTTTTTTTTCTTTTGCCTTGAAATCTATGGCCTGTTGAGTGAACCACAAGTTTTGACTTTTGAGTGTTTCTGCAAGACTCGATTTTGGATGATGATGATAATGAAAAGCGAAAAACAAAGCAAAAAACAGATCTTTCAACAACAGAGGAAAAAAATCCAGACAAGTATCGTTTATTGTTGAAACACTGAGTTTGATTCGAATGTTTTTGTTACGCTTCGTCATCATTGTTTGGTGTGGCACACTCGAAACAAGCACGATTTTTATTTATTTTTTCTCGTTACAGAATTAAACCAGACCTGTAACCAAAACAGGATGTGTGTACAGGATGAGAATGTGCTGAGGCCAAAAAGATTTTGAAAAAAAATAACGAACCGGAACTTTAGTGGGGAAGAAAAATGAAAATTTTGATTCATTTGACATTTGGAATTTTTTTTCAAAAAAAAAAGTTTTAAAAGAACGATCCACATTAATCATACATCCACCCACCCACTACCACAATGATAAACTTACCCGAAAATAGATTTAGCCAGAAAAACATCAAATTTTTTTTTATGTGTGACAAACACGGAGAGAGAGAGAGAGTTCAACAAGTTTGTTTTTGGCAACAAATTCTATATACTCACTTTTAAGCTGACTATATCTTCATCTTTATCAAAAAAATTTTTTTCCCTGAAAATATTTTTTTTTGGGCCATGAAGTTTTTCCATCGACAATCGTAATCGTTGTATAGAGATCTGATCTTTGTTCGTTTTTTTTTCTTAATTTGAAGGGGAATGTATTCTTTTGCCACTTTTGTTGGTTGGTTTGATTTGGTTGTGTTCCCTTTTGGGAAACTGGTCTAACAAGAATTGATATTTATCGCGTTTGTTCATCGGTTTATTAACAAAAATGTTCGCCATGAATTTTGTTGGTTCATTCACTCGTCAATCATACAGCATCAGCTTCTTGAATTGCTTTTCAAGATGTGTGAACGCTTTTTGTTGGAATGATAATGATTTAGCAAGGAAAAACGAGGAGGATGTTTGCTTTCAATTTTTTTTTTTCATTTTTTCATCCTTTGTTCATAATCATTTCGAATAAAATAATCACATTCGAATCAATCGATTCGAATATAACCGGATGAATGAATCAGACGAAACTATCGATAATATCGATTGTAATTCAAAAAAAAAATAAACTTAAAATTTTTTCCCTGAAACTTATCATTTAAATGTTCAAAAATTCGATCCTGATTAATTTTGATTGACGTCCATTCAAAAACAAAAAAACAAAAAAATATGGCTGTCATTTTGGAAATGTTAATCGTTTTTTTTTTTGTTTGAAAGCAACAAAAACACAAAGGAAATGGGGAATCAAAAAAAAATTTTGTCGATTCATTTTAATTCGATGATTTTTTGTTTGTTTGAGCTTTTTCAACATTGCAACCTTTTGCAAAAGGTTTGTACTTTGTTTCATTATTGATTATCCAGTTTATTGGAGATTGCGAGAGAATTCTTGGTATAAGACGATAACAAATGAAAGTGATTCTCGGAACCAAAAAAATCCTAATAATCCAAAGTTTCAAAATCAAATAATCGCGATTATTTTGGCGTCTCAAAATCTGGTGATGATCATCATAATAAACTGAGACTGCTCGACATTTTTCGTTCTGGTTATGTTCACTCTATATATATCTGTGGATTGTCGATGAATTTCATTCGGTGTGGTTTTTGTTCTTTTGAGATATCTAATTTTTTTTCTGACAAGGTCATTCAAAATTTTTGTCAGAAGCAACACTTGCCTATATTTGTTGGTTGGTTGGCACCAACCAACCATTTATAGATTAGTAAGAAATTTTGGGCGCCATTCCAATCCACTACCAGCAAAAAAAAAAAAGAAGCAACCAGTGTGTGTGTGTCACATTTCTGCTTCAACATTTGGTAATTTGAAGCTTCTTTTTCGCAGTTTTAGCTCAAATTTTAATCTAGAAAAAAATTGTTCAGGATTTTCTGCATCATCATTTTTTTTTACTGCAGAACAATTTTGGCCAAAATCGACCATAACAAAAATTTGTAGCGAATAATAATACCTGTTGCGCCCATTTTTTTGCAAACAAAACGAGATAATGGAAAACAAGATTGACATTATCCAGATTCTTTGTTTTGTTCTGTTTGTTTGGTTATATAGATCTTTTCGAAACGGATGATGTTGGATATTGGATATTTATGGCTTGGTTTTTGATGCGCGTGCGTGAACCCAAAAAAAAAAATTTTTTTTGAAATTAAAAACAGATTTCCAGAAACCTGATAATTTTTTTTCCTTCTTTTTTTTTGTTTTGTTTTGATTGATAAGCGGAAATTAATTTTATGGAATTTCAAAATGAAAGATTTTTTCAAGATTTTTTAGCTAACAAAAAATCAGCTGTTTAAGATTCTATTTCCACCTTGATATATTCACTAATGTGCCATATTTCAACACGACGACACGTGTTTTCACAATTTTTTAACAATTTTACAAAATTTTTTCGTAATAATCGTAGCCAATTTGTTTCCAATCATCCGGTAAACAAAATGTTCAAAGTATTGGCTGAAAGTATTATAACCGATCGTCCAACTGATCAAATTGTTATTGCAAATGAACAAATTATCAATGATCATACCAAAAAATTATTAAAAATTCCAAATTTTCTTGAACAAAAACAAGAAAATGGTATACTTATTCGTTCGGAAAGTGATAAATTTGATTATAAAATTTTACAACTTGAAAATGGTATTCGATTATTATTAATATCCGATCCAACATATCGACAATTACCACAACAACAACTATCTGGCAATGAAAATATCGATGATGAATCGGATAATGACAATGCTGACGATGATGATGATGATGAAATGGAAAAAATGTCAACCACATCGAATGAATCGATAATGACTCATGATAATATTAAAAAAGCTGCAATAGTTATCGGTGTTAAAGTTGGTTCCGTACAAGATCCAAAACCAGTTCAAGGTATGGCACATATGTTGGAACATCTTTTAACAATGGGTTCGGAAAAATATCCTGAGGAAAATACTATTGATGATTTTTTATCATCAAATGGTGGATTTCAAAATGCACATACTGATTTTGAACATACTATTTATGAAATTAGAGTTCATCCAAAACATCTATCACATGGTTAGTTGATTGGATTTTGAATTCTTTTCATTTCGTAATTGATTTTTTTTTTTTTTTTTTTTGAAAATATTTTCAGCAATCGATTTGATTGGTAATGCTTTTATTAAACCATTATTACGACAAGAATCGATTGAAAAAGAAATCAAACCAATCGATACGGAATTTGTTCAAGCGAAAGATGATGATGATTTTCGTGTAGAAGTTTTGCTTGGACATTTAACTGATAATGATAATCATCCATTCAATAAATTTATGTGGGGTAATAAAAAATCATTGATTGATGATCCAAAATCGAACGGTATTGATGCACATGAAATGTTATTGAAATTTTATAGAAAATTTTATCGACCAGAAAATATTGTTGTTGTTGTTCAAGCACAAGAATCATTGGAAAATCTTCAAACATGGACAACATCATTATTTTCGAATGTGCCCGATAATACTGATGATAATAATAATGATGATACGATAAAAATTGAAAAATTTCAAGGAAAATTACCATTTCAATTTGGTCCAAATTCCCGATTTAATCGTTTATATCGTGTTGAATCAATCGATGATGGTACACGTTTGTTGATAAATTGGTGTTTACCACCAATCATTGATCAATATCTAACCAGTCCAAATGATTATTGGGCATCCATAATTGGTTACGAAGGAAAAGGAAGTCTAATTGCAACGTTACGGGAAAAAAATTTAGCTATCGAAATATTTACCGATAGTGAATATTTTTGTACTTCAAATAATCAATTTTTCATTATATTCAATATTGATTTACATCTAACGGAATTGGGTTCCGCTAATCTTGATCAAATTATTGAATATTTATTTGAATTTCTAACAATACTTCAACAAACCGGTGCACAAGAATATTATTATCAAGAAAAACAAGCAATATCATTATATTCATTTAATAAAAAATCTGAATATGATTCGGTATCGAATTCAATTGAATTGGCTAAAAATTTACTTTATTTACCATTGGAACATGTTTTTACTGGAACCACTTTATTCTATCATTATAACGATAAAATTATCAATAATTTTGGTCAACAATTAACAATCGATAAGGCAAATTTTATTATTTTGAATAGAAAACTTGAAGAAAATTTCGAAATAAACATTGAACCATGGATGAATATTCGTTATCAAAGTTTTGATATACCGGAAAAATGGATCGATAATGCTCGAAAATGTAATGGTCGATCCGAATATTTTTATTATCCAAAACAAAATCGATTTTTAGCTAAAAATTTTGATATTTTAGCCAATACATTACCGGTTGATTGTGCGGAAAGAAAACAAGGTGATTATCCGACCAAGATTATCGATGAAAATCGTATGTCAGTTTGGTATAAATGTGATTTTAATTATCGTCTACCAAACGCTTCGTTCAATATTCATATTCTTAGTCCATTCAATGAAAATTGTTTAGAAAATGTTGCCTACAATGTTGTACTACAAGAATATTTAACCATTGTTTTACAAGAAGATACATATGATGCATATGAAGCACGTTTAAAATGGCAATTAGCCAGAACATGTTATGGATTAACATTAGGTGCACGTGGTTTTAATGAAAAATTAGCCGAATTAGTATTGATTGTTATGGAACGTTTTTTAGCTATTGATTTTTCGGAAAATCTTTTATGTTCAATTAAAAATGATATTATTAAAGAATATCGTAATAAAAATCGTGAATCACAAACAATTTGTCAGGATATTTTTGCTTCGATCTTAATGGAAAGACATTTTACCTATGTAGATCTTATTGAAAAAATTCAAACAATAAATGTTGAAAATTTAAAAGAATATAATGAAAAATTTTTAACAAATATTTCATTTGAAATTCTTGTTCAAGGTTTGTTCAATGTTTAAATGAAATTTTTATGATTTTTTTTAAAACTTTTTTTTTATTCAATAGGCAATATTAGTATCAAAGAAACAATCGATTTTATCAAACGACTCAAATCAATGTTTATCAATAATTCAAATTATAAACAAATTGATCCACCATTAGAACGAATTAAACAACGTGTATTACAATTAAAATCCTCGGGTGATATTGAAAATCGTTTACGTTTATTAACATTTGCCGATACAACACGTATGTCACATTTAGAATTATATCAACAATTAGGAACATTTGATTTACGTACAAAATGTTATCAATCATTATTTTGTGAAATGATTAATGAACAATGTTTTCATATTCTTCGGTTAGTTTCTTTTTCTTTTTTTTGAATCGAATATTGATAACCTAAAATTTTTCTTTTTGATTTAGAACACGTGAAGGATTTGGCTACACTGTTGGATGTTGTAGCCAAAATATGTTCAATGTTCTTGGTTTCAGTATATTTGTTGCATTCGATTCGGATAATTTTGATTGTTCATCACTTTATAAACGTATCAAAAATTTTCTTGAAATTGATTGTCAAAAATATATTTATCAAACATTGGATGATGAGAAATTTCGAGAATTTGTTCAAGCTTTAATAACCGAAAAACTGGCACCATATCTGAATTTGGATGATGAAACAATGAAAAATTGGACCGAAATTGTTACATATGATTATTGTTTTGATCGTGCAAAAAAAGAAGCCACACAATTACAAATGGCTACATTACAAGATTTTCGCCAATGGTCGGATGAATTTATATTTTTACCATGGAATCAAAGAAAATTACTTAGTATTGAGGTAATAAAAAAAAACTGATTTTATTAAACTTATATAACTAAATTTATTATTAATGTTATTATAATATAGGTTGTTGGAAATGGATGCAAAGCATTGGATGAATGTTTAACATTGGATGATAATAATAATCAGCCGGTTACTAGTGAATGTATTTGTAAAAATGATCAAACACAAATCATACGATTATTACAATCAAAATGCAAAGATGATAAATTCATTGTTAATATTGATAATTTTCGTAAAAGTTTACCATTCTATCCAATACAGCCATCGTTGAAAGATTTAATTTGATTGTATATGGAATTTTGAATTGAATAAAATGCATTTTAAAGTAAATGAATAAATAATTATTGATTATTAATGGAAATATGTTTATAAACTTCATGATAGGCATTACGAATTAATGCATGCGGAAAACATGATTCCAATAGATCCATTGTTAAAAATGGTGATTCTTGTACAATTAAATCCAATAGAATATAGACGGATTCACGATTTCGAATAGCTTCTTTATCACCAGTTTCCTGTCCTAATCGTAACAATGATGATGATGCTAATGCTAAAAATTCTTTAAGTCGATCTTCAATATCATTCATATCGGTTATGGTGAATAATGCAGCAGCAATTCCATTAATTGCTTTTGCTAAACAATGTATATTATTTGAATGTGCTTCCAATTCAGGTCGATAGATTGAATTTTCCATACGAGCTAATTTCGGTAAAGAAACAGCAATAAAAACCATCAATAAACATGCATATTGATATTTTTCTTCCGGTTTAATATCATTTTTTTGATTACGTAAAGCATTTACTAATGCTGGATCAACTTTACATTCAATACCGGCCGAACTGGCCATTTCATCAACAACTTTTATAACATTATTATTATCCATATGCATTGATTCAATCATTGAACTATTAGCTGAATGATGAAAATCTTTTATTGAACCAAGTAAAAATGGTATACGTTCTTCAAGAACATCATTCAATGCTTCTTGCAATAATGAACGGAAACACATCATTTCACCAATAATTGTCATTCGTTTAAGAACGGAATCAACATCGGTCAATTTTTTTACCAATTCTCTCATCTGTTCAGGTCGATCATAATGTGATCGTAATTCAATCAATGTTTCAACATTTCTATTGACGATACGCTAAAAACAAAACAGAAATTTTATTTTAAAAAATGCAAATTTTTTTTCATCCTATTCCTAACCTTTAGTTCGGTAACTTGACTGGCAATATGCCACATTATTTTCTCTGTCAAACTATCGATTCCATAAGAGCCAATCAATTCAACTAGAGCTCGTAGTTCTACACAAAAAAAAAGAAGATTAATGAAATGAAATTTAATTTTTTGAAAAAAAATTATTACCATTAATATCGGAATATTCTTCGGCTGAAAATGGCATCTGTGGATCAATAACCAATGATACAAATGCTTTTTGTCGTGGTGAATAGACAATATGATCAGTGGAAACTTTACGAAGTAAAACTTCCAGATACCAATTTGTATATAAAAATGTAATTGTTTTATCGCCATGTGAATCCTGTGTTTGTGTTTGTTGTAACATAATATTGTTGAACACACGAGTCATATCAATGTGAACTATATTTGTGAAACGTAAAACAGAAAAATTAAAAAAAGATTATGACAAAGTTAGACAAAAAAAAACAAAACAAACCATGACTTTCGATGCTTTGCAAAACATTCATATATGCTCGAACACTGATCAATAATTCGGATGGTTTGGCAATTTCTTTGGTTTGTTCATTATACATGGTCATATTGACCAATGATTTATTGAAACGATTTTCAAGATTTTGTGTCAAATATTCACGTGGTGAAAATGTATGATCCCAAACATAAATACTTGGTGTATGATTAATTGCATAACAAAGTTCAGTTAATGCCATATGTAATTTATCCATTGTTGTTAATTCTTCACGATTTCGACGATATGATTCAGCACCAGGTTTAATTACATACATATTGTTTGTATTCAAACCATTTGAAATTGATCTTGGATCAATATTATTCGATTGTTGTCCATTTCCAGCAGCATTTCCTCCTCGTTGTCCTTTTTGTTTAAGTTTTTTCTCTTCGGCAAACATTTTTGCATGTTTGGGCATTAACTGTATGAGCAAAAACAAACATTATTCAAAAGTCACAAGAATTCATTTTTATAAAAGAATAATTACCATATCGCTCATAATACAATGTTCATCACAAATTGTTGTGATTATATTTTTTGCTTCTTTTGACATTTCTTCCAAAAAAAGATTTACCAAATTGATTGATCGATCACCAATATGATATCGTTCTTCGGGACATAATTCATGAACACAATTTAAAAAATGGCTACATATTAATGGAAATGCAATTATGTAACGTGTTTGTGCAGGAAATTCTAAACACATTCGAAATTGATCTTCAAATGATCGATTACAAAAGCTAAAAATCCCAGCGAAAAAAACAAAAAAATTTAATCAAACAAAAAAGCAGAAATTTTTTGGTTGACTTACCAAAAAATAGATAGATCACTGGTTTCGGTTAACATTTGATCAAGATAATCAATCATTTTTGTATGATAAACAATTGTATTCATACATTGAGCAAGATTTGGATTTTCAATAATCAAAAATGGATAACGACTTATACTGGTATAAGTTTGTAAACGAAACCAATCCAAACGTAATGGACGAAAATCAAATATTTGACTTTCCAATTGGCTTTCATTTAAATTTGAGATAGTAGCATGAATACTGTCCAATATAATACAATCATCTTCAGGTAATGTTGGACTATTTTTAAGTATTTCATTTAAAAGATGTGCATCATAATTATAAAGATATTGTATATGATAACGTTGTATAACTTGGCTATATTTCCTAACTAAACCACGCAATTCTTCAATATAGAATAAAAGTTCAGGTAATTGACGATCAATAAGATCTTCGGGTGAAACTTTTGATTTTCCTGATTGACGACTTGGTGGATTTTCATAATGTCGTAAAAGCCAATAAACTTCATCACGTGCAAATGAAAGTGCCATAAAAACAAACAATGTTTTCGGTCCAAGCAAACCAGGCTGATCGGATAAAAGTAAACTTAATTCTTTCAATGCTGCACGAAGATATTTACGTCTTTCTCGATGAAAATGTGGCCTACATCAAAAACGATAATCAATTAATTGAAATCGATTTTGCAAATAAAACAAAAAACATTACCCTTTACTAATAACATGATTGAATGTATCTTTAACTTCGGAAATTCGTTTATTATAACCTTTATGTGTTTCAAAATATTGTTGAACAAATTGATGTGTATGTAATATTTCATCACGAAACAATACAATAACCCAACCATTTTTCAATGCACTCATAAACAATCTTTGTGTTTCTTGTTGATTCAAAAACTGATGTATCAAAAGAAAGCCAACTGAAGGAGAGAGAAAAAATTCGTTAAGAATTGATCAAAAATCAAAAATCAATCACTTACAAATAATATAACGTTCCATAGCATCCATAGACATATAAAGTAATTGTGTTGTTGGAGTTAATGCTGGATTTAACATTTGTTCAGGTTTAGCCGTTAAACTAAATAAATGTTCATTTCGCCAATCAACAGCGGTAATATTTCGTGCAAGAAATTCTTCCGATAATGATATCAATGCTTGTTGTAATAATTTTGAATGTGGTACAAATTCTTCGGACAATTTTTTTATTGGCTGTTCATAATCAATAATCATTTGTCCTAATCGGGGAAAATGTGAATCCGTATGACCATTAATCATATCGAATGCAATATTATAAAGTCCTAATACTGCTTTTCGATCTTCAACACGTGATAGTAATATCATTAATGATACATAAGTGACAATCAAATCGAGATATGCTTTTGTCAAGTCAAAATTACATCTCTGTGTAAAAATAACGGATTATCAAATTGAGTGAAAACAAAACAAAAAAAAAAAATCTTACAATATCCAATGATACTTGACAAGCATCCATTGTTGTTAATAATTCACAAACATGATCTTTAAAATCCAACAGATCGACAAATGTTAAATAATATAATTGTAATGATTTAATTATATTTTCTTTGATTTGACTTAAAACGGCAAATTGGTTCTGAAAAATATTTTACGAATCGATTAGGATATGATTAAAAAAATTATGCTACAAATTGCTTACATTGTTTTTATAATCGGAAATGACGGGAAATTTTCTTACTGCATGTTTAATAATTGATTCCATTGATTTATCCAATAAAAAATGTGGTTTTAATTTTGGATCGCTACATGTCTATTATGTTTATTTGAAAAACAAAAAAAAAATCATGTAAATTGATTTGAAACTTTCATTCGAATAATGATTACCTTTTTAATGTTATAGATTCGTGTAAGCATACCAATACCACGATCATTCAGAATTGTTAGCTTTTCGGCTAATTTCTGATGTGAAATTGTTGTTGATCTCATTTTGATCGGGAAATAATTTGATCCAACCAAAATCAAAATCAAAACATCAAATCAAAAATTAATTGAGAAAATGATCGCACCCAAAAAAATGGATATCCACTCTTTTCTGTCAATAAGAATGTCTATTTCGATCAGTGGAAACAATCCACAGTCGAAATGGATACCCAGTTGATATATTTTTTTTGTTTGTGGACACAGCCAAACACAAACAAGAATGCAAAACGCAAAATAATAAAAACCGCCAATCCACATGTGTCATTGAAAATTTTTTTCGTTTCTTGTAATTAAATAAATTCTTTATAATTTACTTTACTTAATTGATTTGATTTACAAACATGTTGCTACGTTATTGTTGTCCAAGACATAATCTTCTTCGTCAGATTTTATCATCGAATGATTATCTAATAATTCGTGATAATAATGAAATGTTTATCAACAACAACAACAACAAATGTTTATTATCAACAAAATTTTGTTCGATTGAAAATCATTTACCGAAAATTCCCCAAAAATTTAAAACATCGTTGCTGAATCGTGATTTAATAAGATATTTTTCCACTACAACCACCACCACTACTACCTCTGAATCTAACGAGCTTCATAATTTTCGATCAATCAGGTAAAAATTGCTTGAATTTGTAACAAGTATTGTTTCTAATTTTCATAATCTTCTTGTTTGGTTAGTGCACAAAATAAAAAAATGATTTCAAAATATCTTGGATTAAAATCATCATTTCTTAATGAAACCGATGCCTTGATTTCGAATGATTTTCATAAACTTTTATTTAATTTTTGTTCGTTGGATGAAAATGGTCACGACTTTCAATTATATCCATTATATTTTAATAATATTGATCAGAATTTTCTCAACAATGAACAATTACGAAATGGTGTCATCGTTGATGATCATGATGATAATCATGCTGAATTTTTATTCTATTCATTCGATAGATCTGATATGAAAAATTTTGATTATCTCAAATTAACCGATAACAAAATATTAATGATATTTGACGATATATTTGATGCATTAGCATTTTATCAACAAACAAAATTACCAACAATTGTGATACGTTTATTTAATGATAAAAATGTTCATTTCCAAAAATTTTGTCATAAATTAAATGAACATTATGAAAAAGTAAGTGTTATGCTCAAAGTTTTCATTACTGAAAATTTCTTCGTTTTTTGGTGTTCAGATAGTTTTATGGCCAAAAAATGGTAATAAATTTGAATCGACAATCAGGAAAAAATGTCTAGAAAATTTTGATCAAGAAAAAATCCATTTTATAAATTCAAAACAAACAGCAACACAATTATTATGTGAAGATTCACGAACAAAATTTGATTCATTGTTACAGGATTTAACACCGATTAAACATCCTTTTATATTGAATTTTCATGATTTAAAAGATGATGTTTATAATGAATTTAGTGATCCAACAATTAGCGGTGTACAATGGTCAAGATTTCCTAAACTAAATGAACATTTAAAAGGTCATCGTTCAGGTGAACTAACAATAATTACCGGACCAACTGGTTGTGGTAAAACAACATTTGTTTCCGAATATTCATTAGATCTTTGTATGCAAGGTGTACCAACATTATGGGGTAGTTTTGAAATAAAAAATATTCGTTTATTAAAAATGATGCTAACACAATATGCAAAGAAAAATTTTTCCTTTACAAATAAACAAGAATTCGATCTGGAAGCTGAAACATTCGCCAAACTGCCAATGTATTTTATGAAATTTCATGGTCAAACTGAAATTGATTTAATAATGCGTGCAGCTGAACATGCTGTACTTGCATTAAATATTAAACATATTGTTATTGATAATTTACAATTTATGTTGGGTAAGTTTTTTTCAGGTAAAAAAATTTCAGAAAATTTTTAAAAATTTTTTCTGCCCCCCTCAAAAAAACAGGAATGAATGTTGAATCAAATTATGATCGATTTTTGAAACAAGATTTTCTCATCAGTTCCCTACGACAATTTTCCACCGATTATGATTGTCATATAACATTGGTTGCACATCCACGTAAAGAAAAAGAAGAAATTTCAATGTCAAATAATTCATTATATGGTGGTATAAAAGCAAGCCAAGAAGCTGATAATGTTATGATTATAATGAATAAATTTAATGCCAGATATCGTTGTAATAAATATATTCAGATTACAAAAAATCGTTATCATGGTAGTTTGGGTATTGTACCATTATATTTTGATAAATCATCGTTATGTTTTTCATCTAATCGAACAATTGGACAATTGGAATCAACGACAATCACCAACAACAACAACAACAACAGTAATGATAATCAACAACAGACAATCTTTGATAATAATGATAATAAATCGGATTTTGTATCCGATATTTATCGAATGCGTTATCAAATTGAAAATTGAAATTTGCATAATTTTTTTTTTGTTGTATAGAATATTAAAAACGAATATATTTTTGATGTGAAAATAAAATTATAAGGACCATTATTTTAATCCTTTCTTCTTTTTTTTGTTTGAAAAACAAGAAAACAGAAAAAAAATGTTTTGAATTACAATTTTGTATTGATTAAATTTTTTAAAAATTCTTTAACTCGACTAGCTACAGGTGGTAATGGTGGTCTTGGATAATTTGTTTTTATCGAATGATCAGGTATTGATGATGATATAGTATCACGTAACATCATCATTGGTAATATCATTGATGATGGTAATGTTATTGGTTGTTTATCCGATTTTATTGTTTTAATTGGTCCAGGTAAATAAATTGGTTCAATTTCACTGGCCGAACCGGTTAAATATTTATTATTATTATTATCATAATAATTTGTTCCATAATCTGCCATCATTGAATCCTGTTGTTGATGATGATGATGATTCGAATGTTTCAATAAATTCGAATTCGAATTTAATCGATTTTGTTGTCGTTCATCACCATTATTCGATTCTATCGATTGTATTCCATTTGTATCATGATAATAATTTGTCGGTAAATTATTTCGATGTGATAATAATGATTCATCTGGATGATCTTTTAATCCCGATGAATAATTGGTAAAATCTTTCGATTGAGATTGTTGTTGTTGTTGTTGGCGATGATATTGTTGTTTTGTTGATGTTGTTGGTGTTGATGAGAATAATTCGCCAAAAGAATTTTGATCATCATCAAATGAATCGAAAATTTTTTTAAAATAATTCATTTTTTCTTCAGACATTTTTGATTTGGATTTTTCCGTTTGTTGATCATTCGAAGTTTGTCCATCATCAATTGAAGATTGATCATTTGTATCGAAACCAACATTTGATGTTTTTGTACCACCAACATTAACATTATGATGATCATCATCCATCCATGATGAATCGCCAATTTTCATCGTTGATGATGTTTGTTGATGATTCGTATTTAAATTATTATCAACATAACGATTTTTACCATCATTCGATACATAATTCAATGTAACATGATTATTGTTTGGTCTTCGATTCAATGATGATGATGATGGTTTTTTCAACAATTTTCGTTGTTGTTGATGATGACCATGATGATCATGATAATGACCATAATCCATATAATTTGATTGTGTTGGCATTATATTCAACGGTATCATTGTCATTGCATTGTTATTCATATCACCAATTGTACTATCATCATAAAATGTTGATAAATTTGGCATATATTTTGTCATCGTTGTTTGTTGCTGTTGATCAAAATTATCTAATAATTTTATTGGATCATAATTTAAATATGGATATTGATTATTCATCATTTGATTTTTACTCGACGACGATGATGATGTTGGTTTATCTGTTTTGATTTTTTCCGTTGAATTATTATTATCCGAAAGAACTTTAATAATATTTGATGAACTTGGTAATAAATTACTAATAACATCCGGTACCTGAATGGTTAATGGACGACCAAATAAACGATTCATTAAATCAATTGAAACAGCTTTACGTCTTTCAGCTGATATTGTTGATGTTGATGATGGCCGATTTAGTAATTTATTATTGATGTTAGTTGTTTGTAACAAATGTTGCTGTTTTTGAGCAAATAATTGTTGCTGAGATGATGATAATAATAATAATAATAATATGAATATTTTTATTAAAATTTCAAATAAATTGATCATTTTGTTGTTGTTATTGTTCATATTTTCGATTTTTTTTTCTTTCGGTTATTTTTTCTTTTTCAGATGTTTCAAAATAAAGTTAACAACAACCAAAACCAAACAAAATAAAATAACTACAGACCCGTTTGAACGGATTGAAAAATATCGAATGAATGAACAAAATCGTCAACGATGGACGATGACAATTTTCCAAAAGACACCAGAAAAAAGTAAAAAAACAAACAAACAAAATAATTAGAATAAACGCATGAATGAAATGTACAAAAACAAAAAAAAACAAAACAAAAAATCCGAACAAACTTTTTTTTTTCGTTGGGTTTCCGTTTCGTAATCAATATCCCAGGCAAAGATATCCAGTTTCTCTCTCCAACAACAACAACAACAACCCAAAAAATCCTTAGATTAAAAAATTCATTTTTTTCGGGATTATCGATTTGTTGTTGTTTTCGAGAGATTATTTTTAAACAAAAAAATTAATTATGTTTGGCCATTCAAAATAAAAAAAGTAGCCAGTTTTTTTCAATAACTTTTCCTTTCAATATTTTTCTGTTTTCTTTTTCGGACATAGCCGATTAAATGTCGAAAATCTTTGTTTTGGTTCGTTCTGGTCATCATCATCATCATTTTCAGATTTTTCTCACACTGCCATATTTCGACCGAAAAAAAAACTTTTTTTTCCTTTTTTTTTCTCGATGATAATTAGCATTTTCTCAACTCGGGTGCCAACCGATCAACAGCTAAACTTACTTTATTCGAGTGCAATGAAATTTTCAACCAAAAAAAAACGAAGAAAAACACCGTTCTTGTTTATCGTTTCGTAAATAATTATCCAACAACAAAAAAAAAATGATAACAATCTTTCTATATTTGTTTGCAATGATGATGATGATTTTAGTTTAAAAATTTTTTTTATTGATCTATGTTAATGATGATAATTGAGCTTTTGATAATAATTTTTCCTTCGTTCATATATTTCTAGAATTTGTTCATTATCTTGTTAACGGAATATATCTTTTTTATCAAAAAAAAAGATCTTTCTTTCCAGGCGCTTGACGAAGTGGTACTCTTATTATCGATCCAATAGGCCAATGTTGTTTTGCTTTGGAAAAGAAAATTTTAAAATTTTAAAATTTTTCAAAAGAAAAAATAAATCTCCATGACTACCAAACATACCTCTCTCTCTTTCATGGACTTTTTTTGTTTCTTCGTTTGTTTGTTTGTTTTTCTCATGAATATCATTATCAAGATATGACCCAATAAACAATTTGTTTGGGGAAATAATAAGGGAAAAAAATTTTTCGATCAATAAAATTATCGTTGAAGTGGATGAAAAGTGTTTTCATTTTTTTTACTTTCGCTTGGTGATTTATGACAATCGGATTGTTTTTTCGGATTTCTTTGATATCATCATTGACGAACCAAAAAAAAAATTGGCCATTTTGGAAGGTAAGCTTCAGTAGCCAAAAAAGAAGGATTTTTCGTTTTTGCTACCAAAAAAAAAACGTTAATTATACACGCATAAGTGATTCGGCATCGTTATTATCACCCAAAGAAAAATAATGAAAATAAGTGAACAACAAACAAACAAACAATCATCGTCATTAGTCATTTCTCTTTCTATAAATATGAAATTCTTCTGAAAATTTTTCGGTGTTTGGGTTTTATTTTTGGATTAACGACGACGATAACGATAATAATAATAATAATAAACACCGGGAGTGAAAAAAAAAATCGTTTTTGGATATTTTTCAACAGTAATCCAACATCATAATCATTTTGAAGTTAATCTTTGTCAATATCAATTTTAAATCTTTGAAAGTGAAAATATCAAAAATGAGGCCTTGGATTTTGGTCATTATTGTTGCATTTATTGCCTATCTATTTTTTATCAAATTAAATCGATGGAAACCTGGTGTTGGAATGAAATTTCGTAAAAATAATAGTCCAAATATTAGTTGAATAAATTCTGTTCAAAAAAAAACAAACGAAAGAAAATCATGACCAATATTAAACAATGGAAAAGTTCATCATCAAAACAAAACACAAACCTCCAAAAAGACCCATACAAACATTTTACACTAAACACAATTCAATCAAATGTTTTTAGTTGAATAAAAAGTTGTTATTGTTTTTGTCAAAAAAAATTCAAATATCTTTTTTATTATCAATATTTAATGAAATATTTGATAATTTTTTCAAACGTAAATATTTACGTACATGTTTCATACCTGAAACACGAACAAATGAATTCAATAGGCCATAATCTTGTGGATTATCATTTGTGGAAACATTATTCATCATCATTGATGATGGTGAATCATTAATAAATGGTTGAATCTGAATACGTTGATTTGATCTTTGCCAACAACGAAATTCATCCAGAATTTTCCAACCGAACCATATTAACGATACAATTATAATTGAAATTCGAATATTCGGTATAAAACGAGCAAGTAATGAACGCCAAAATTTTCGCCGATTGGTTGTTGAAATAGTTTCCGATTGTTGATGTTGTGTATTTAGACGACAATCATCATCATAATCATAATCATTCGAATTATTGAAACAAACAATCATAATGATACCAATTAATGATATAAAGATAACATTTTGTAATCGTGTTGATAATTCAATAAATGACCAAATATATTTACTATTGTTTGCATGCTAAAATTAATCAAATGGTTAAATTAATGATTTCCAAATTATCATCATCAAAAAAAGTTACCGTTATTTTTTGATATTGGATCCATTCCAAAAAACTACGATTAAATAATTGAATTTGAAATTCATAACGACAAATATCACATTTTTTTTGTTTGGTTATTTCTAACCATTGTTCAAAACATTTTTGATGTACATATGCAAATGGTCCTAAACATTTACAAGCGTTTATAAATTTATCCGAATCCATACCACCACAACGACAAATACGACATAAACGTTTACGAAATATACGTTCTAAATCATTTTGATCGATTTGTTGTTGTTGTTGTTGTTGATTATTCAATAATGTTGATGATTTGCTTGCCATTTTTACAAAAAAAAACTGATCAAAACTTTCGATTTTCGAAGAAAAATTCTTTTCTCAAATTTATAAAACTTTATTTAAAAAAAATTCGAAATTTTTATGTAAAAATTAATTTAATTATAAATGTTCGTGTTTGGAAAATTGTTTGCAAAAAAAATCAAAAAATCACAGTTTTTTCTTACAGGTGTGGGGGGCAATTAAAATTTTAGTTTGGAAAAGGTAAAAGTAATATAAAAAAAAACATTCGAATCGAATCATTATGCAATCTGGAAATATCAAAAAATAAAAAAAAATTGATTTTCGAACCAATCCCTGATCATCATCAAATTGAACACACAAACAATGAAATACTTGTTATATACGGTGAATAACATTGTAAATTTTTTTTTTCTTCAAATTGAATCCGGATTTCGATGATGATGATCATTATCATCATCATCGACTGAACTTTCTAAATTTTCTCTCAATGTAACCATTGATCTTGTAATTGGAGCCGGTGTTTGCAGTTGATCACTTGTTTTTGAATTACTACGTATTCGTTGATGATGATGATGATTACGTAACGGGTAGACTTCATTTTCAGATTTACATTTTAATTTTAGATAATGATGATTATTACGATCATTATGATGATGATTATGTGATGAATGATCACCAAATATTGATGTTAATGATGAATTTGGATCATTTCGTTTGATTAAAAAATTTAAACAACATGAATAATATATACAAGTAAATATTAAACCAAATATTAATGATAATATGGATGAAAAACGAAATAAAATTCTTGCAGCATTATCATCATTACTAATTGATTCAATTGTATAATTATCGATTGTTTTCATTTCAAAATCCGTCAGCCATAACCATTGATTATAAATATCGGGCCATAAATTTAGCCAAATATTAGCCATTGCAGCACCAAGTGCACGACCACCACCAAAATGTATTAAACATAATGTATATTGCATTATAACATGTGGACTATATGTTTGAAATATTGTTGTACCGGTTGCATAACTTAAACCATTTGGACTACGTTTAATTAAATGTTGACCATATGCAGTAACACCAATCCATGCCAGTGGTAAACAAAATGATGACATCATTTCAAATGGTAATATAAGCCAATTTTTATGTTGATATTTTGCTGTTGCTAAAAATGATATACCACCAAATCTTAGCGAATAAAATATGAATGCCAACAGGATTAAATTCATACGGCCAATACCGGATATCATTGATTTAGCCATATAGGCAAACAAAGCTGTTATCAAAAATGAACCACTTGTTGCAAAACCAATCAAAAAATTTGATGAATGTAATGAATGACGATAAAATGAACCGGTTAATGTATTGGATAGACCCCAAAAACAACCAAGTATTAATACCATTGGTATTAATATTGCTAAACGATATAATAAATATTGATTACTATGACGACGTGGATAACGAAATTTTGTCGGTTGTAATACAACTAATTTTTTTGAATTAATTTTTCCTGTTGATTCTTTTGTTTGTGTTGAATTCAATGGTAACATTATGATTAAAAACATTGTTATGGCAATAAAACCATCAAATATAATTATTGGTGGTGCATAATTATCAGCATTTTTTTCATTAAAATAATCGGATAATATTCCACAAATTGGTGGCCATACAATAAATGGAAGAATTATTGTCCAAAAACGTTCAAAACCAGCATAAATTGAATCATAATTATTTGTATTTGCAACACGTATTGCTTCGATTAATGAATTTGATGTCAATAATGTTAAATCGATTAAACAACGAAACAATAGATATAGATAGAATGTTTGTTCAGGATTACCTTCAATCATACGACATGGTGTTGGTGGCCGTACACGTGTTGTACCAATAGTACGATGACGTAAATTAATTGAACAATAAATATTACAATTCGGTACATATGGACGACATTGAATATTATTATAAACTTTTTGTAACATTAATAATGGTGGTGATGGTTTAAATGTACATGTTGATTGTCCATCAAACATACGATCAACTAGATCATTTTGTTGATCATTTTCAATTACTGGCCATCGATCAAATCTTGAATCAAATTGTATACTTGCTTCTTGACTTAATGATAAATCAGTACGAATAATTTTTTCCTGTTGAACATCTTTTTGAAAATATTTTTTTCATTTTAAATCACAATTTGATTAACAAAATTACTTACCTAAACAAAGACTAACTGGATCATTACTATCATGAAAACAAACATTCACAGGATACCAAGATGAATTAATTTTATGTCGGCCATCATCATTACAAACATATGAACAGGTAACAATTTCAAAACTAGAAAAATTTGTTGCCGGACGTTTTGGATATGTATGACATTGACCATTCCAATTTGAACATTGTTCAATACGTAAAACATTTTCATTACAATCAAAATACATTTTTGGTGTATGTTCATTGGATATTACTTTCGGTATGAATAATAATGCCGTAACGGATAAAAATGCTAATATCATTGTCAAAATTAATGTTTGTTTATAACCGGATAATTTATGTGCTAATGGGCCAAAACAAAGCGGTCCAATCATACTTAATAATGCTGACATACAATTAATCCATGCACACTGGGACCATGATAATCCTAATTCACTTAGATGTACATTTAAAAATGGTATTAATGATGCCAATGCTTTTTTTGTTTGTTGAGGGGTTGAAGAAAAAGAAGATTTTAAAATTTTAAAAGATTTTTTTAAAAAAATATCTAAACAAATTACCTGAATAAAATGCACAGTTAATAAAATTCTGTGATGTAAATAAATGTTTTGAATGTGACATTATGTAAGACATTGTTAAATTATTGAAATTGATTGATTAAATTGATGAAAACAGATCGGTTGAATGAACTAAATTTGATATGTGTTGATTGATTCTTGATAAACAAAAATCATTGATAACTTTTTTTTTACATCAGCCACATGACCATTAAAACACGTGATGATCATCTATATGTTTTGTTGTTGTTCAAATGTTTCAATTTATGATGTTGGATTCACACAATACATACAGGTGTTGTCAGCATCTTTTCAAACTTTAAACTTGAAAAAAAAGGACAGGTGCATATCATTGTGTGGTAGTCGTGCAAAACACGAACAACAACAGTTGCGAAAATTGGTTGCATAACAACAACAACAATCACAACATCTGGCCACGATTCCGAGTTATTTCATAATGACGATGATCATTCAATAATAAACAATCTTTTCGGGTGTGTAAACATCACACACACACACACAAAAATGGCAATGAATATCAATGATGATAATAATGCCACTTTATTTTTCGGACATCGCCTATTTTTTCTCTTTCTTTCGTTCATTAGCTGACAATGTTGTTATTATTTACTTGTTGATGATTGTTGTTATTTTCAACTTAATGTTGGTGGTTGTTGTTTTTTTTTCGGTTGAAATGTGGATAATATAATGATTAATGTCAGTCAAAACCAAAACAGACAGACAGAGATACTTGTTACTGATGGTTACTCTTTTTTTTTCTTCCTAACTCCCGAATAATGATGATTTTTGAATGAAATAAACACATTTAACCACAATATCGGAGGTAGTAGCATTGATAGGATTGATTTTATTCATTCATTCAGTTTGGTTTGGTTTCAATTGCAAAGTCAATGTCCGATTCTATTGTCGAAAATGAGATACAAAGTTAAAAAAAGGAAACAGGCTATTTTAACAAGTTATAACATTCGTTTCTTACTTTTGATTCGATTCGATTCGAAGACTGAGTTTTTTTGTCGGACTGAATTTATTTTCCAAGATTTTCTCTTTCCATCATCATCATCATCTTATTATGATAATATTTTGACAGCCATTTAATCATTGATGATGATCGGATCTTTTTGATTTTTTCTTGTTATAATGTAATTCAATATAGAATCACTTTTTGATCAATCGATCGATCGATCGATCGATTGATTGATCATTCGATTTTTTTTCTGTTTGGTTTGGTTTAAAAAAGAAAGCCAAAAATAGATAAGTTGTTGGGCAAGTTTAATTGATTGGCTATAGCCATTTAATGATGGTGATGATGATGATGATGAAAATGAGCAAATTATTCGAGATTTTCGAGCAAATCGATTTGATTACGTGTTAACAAATCTAGCAAATAATGTTTCCATTGATGAAAAATATTCCATTTTCGTTGATAAATTCTGTTTCGGGAAAAATTTATCAAATAAATGCCAACAGAACAGCATGGTCAATAGCAAGAAAAGTGATTGAAGAAAATCTTCAACAAATTCATCAAGATGGTACATGGAAAAATGAACGTATCATAACAACAGCACAAGATGTACATATACAAGTGAATAATGATAAGAAAAAAATTATAAATTTTTGTGCAAATAATTACCTGGGACTTTCTGTAAGATGATTTTCTGCTTTTTTTGGTCCAGAAACTTTCATTTTCAATTTTTTTCTACCCTTTGAATGAATGAATTAGAACCATCCGGAAGTAATTGAAGCCGGTCGAAAAGCATTAAAAGATTATGGTGCTGGTCTAAGTTCGGTAAGATTTATTTGTGGTACACAAGATATTCATAAAGAATTGGAAACGAAAATTGCCAAATTTCATTGTCGTGATGATGCTATTTTGTATGCAAGCTGTTTTGACGCAAATGCCGGTTTGTTCGAAGCTATTTTAACATCAGAGGATGCTATTATTTCCGATCAATTAAATCATGCATCAATTATTGATGGTATTCGTTTGAGTCGAGCACAAAAATTTCGTTTTGAACATCGAAATATGATTGAATTGGAAAAAATTTTATCAGAAATTTATTCCAAATCAAGAATACGTATGATTGTTACTGATGGTGTATTCAGTATGGATGGAAATGTTGCTAATTTACCGAAAATTGTTGAATTAGCCAGAAAATATGATTCAATAATATTTATTGATGAATGTCATGCAACAGGATTTTTTGGTAAAACTGGTCGTGGTACAGCTGAATATTTTGGCTTAAAAGAAAACGATATTCATATTATTAATTCAACGCTTGGAAAAGCATTAGGTGGTGCATCAGGTGGTTATACAACCGGTCCAAAAGAATTAATCGATTTGCTTCGGCAAAAATCACGACCATATTTATTTTCAAATTCATTACCACCACCAATTGTTGCGCAAGCTATAAAAGTATTCGATTTATTGACTAAAGATTCATCATTGGTTGAAAAAGTTGATGAAAATACCCGATTGTTTCGTCAATCAATGAAAGAATTTGGGTTTAATATTTTGGTAAATTTTCGAAAAAAAGAAAAATTTCACTTTTATTTACTAATCTTATTATCATTTTCATTTACCAGGGTGATAATCATCCAATTTGTCCGGTATATGTTGGTGAAGCACGTTTAGCAACATCAATTTCCGATGCAATTTTCAATCAATATGGTATCTATGTTGTTGGATTTAGTTTTCCTGTTGTGCCGAAAAATCGAGCAAGAATCCGAGTGCAAATGTCAGCAGCACATTCAACCGATGATGTTAAACATTTAATCGATGCATTTGTTAATGTTGGCCGACAATTTAAACTTATTGAATGAATTTTTTTTTATTTATTTCAAAAGTAAAATAATAATAATGAAAAAAATGAAATATTAAACATGAAAATTTGAAACAAAATAACTTGATTTGAATTTCAATCATCATTACTATCAGCCGAATCATCATCATTTTTATCATTATCCGCATTTGAATTTGGTTTACAATCATCATCATCGTTTGGTCGCATTTTTTTCTTTGCTTTCAATCTTTCTTTTTTCTTTAAACGTTTTGCTCGTCGTTTGGCTGTCGATTCTTCCAATTTTCGTTGATTTTCTTCCAATTTTTTTCGATATTCTTCATCTAATTGTTCATTTTTTGCTTGTGTTTCGATAAAATTCAA